AGCCCCCGCCGCCTCAGCCCGCCGGCCCTTCCCGCGACACTGCCGGGGAGGCCCCACGTCGCCCCGTTCAAAGTTCTCCCGACTGGAGTGGAACTCGGCTTCCCTGGAACTCGCCCGGCTCCCCACCTCCACCCTCCGGGGCCTCACCAACTCCTCCCTCCGCTCCGGGGTTGGACACCACACCCCTCCCGTCTCCAAATACCTTCCAGGGGCCTCCCCTAGGGACACATTTCTGCTTAGCTTTAGAGCTAATCTCATGGAGCCCTCCAAGTGCAGGCACTTAACCAGTTGTGCCGAGTGCAGATCTCCATTTTGCAGATCAGATAACTGAGGCCGAGAGAAGCAGGGAAATTAAACTGTGCTCAGATCATTCTCACACTTTCACACTTGAAGCCCCAGGGCAGTAGGGCAGCCTCCACTACCACCCTCCTCCCTCCAAAGGGTTTGCTTAAGTGAAAGGAGGCTTCATGGGACACAATCACCCCCCCCCGCCCCCCCACTTCACCGCCCAATAACCACAGAGGCAAGATGGGGGGTCTGGCTTCCTCTTTAGTTCTCATGACACCGAGGGGCTCTCCATCACAGAGAAGGCACTTAAATGGGAGGGTCACGGGATACAGACCAACCATGTCCTCCCTCCCACCCCCAGCTCTGGGGGGGGGGCATATCTCCATTTGATACCCCCCTTGGCACTGGTATGTGGGTCCCCTTAACTGTTAGGCCCTGGGGAAAGCCAAAGAAAGGCCTTGACCTCCAGACTCAGCAATTCGGGGAGGGGTTCCAGGTAAAGGAGGCAGAGCTGGAAGGCAGGATGTCCTGGGAGCAGCCCCCAGCTAGCAGGGGATGAGACAGGGGGCTGCAGAGAGTGGGTTGGCACTGAGGAGGGGTGTAGCTTGGCAGGAATACTCCCAAAACCCCACAAGAAGGGTCCCAACTCCTACAGATCCCCTAAAGGCACGGGGTGAAGTACAGGGTGGGTGGTGGAGGCACCAATTAGGTGGTATGGAGACTCCACACACACAGTCAGCTGGTTGGCCTAGCACAGGCTGGGCACAGAGAAGGTGCTCAATAAATGTTTTGAATGAATGAATGAAGCAAAGAGGGTGTGGGGGGCAGAGGAGGGGGCCTGGGGCCCCTTGGCCCAGCTTGTTTCATTCAGAAAATAGCAGTTTAAAAATGTAAAAATCCTTTCCCTCCCTCCCCCCAATTTATGGGCCTGGGAAAGGGGTGAGGAAGGGGTGTCTCTACTCCAACCCTTCCCCCGCTCCTTCCCCTAAAAATCTATATACACATATACATATTTATATGGCACCGCAAAGGGGTCCTGTCTACACCCCACACTTGGAGCTGGGGGATCCAAGTCCCAAGGCCTTGGGTGATAGCAGCCCACAGCTGCTGATGAGCCCAGATTAGCTGGACTCTGTGTCCTAAGGACAGACCCCTGCTGCTTCCACAAGTGTTAATGGATCTTCTCCCCTCCTGTCTACCCACCTAGGCAGAGGTCGTGGGGTCTGTCTAAGTCCCCACAGAAGACGTGGGGAGAATGGTTTCTCCCTGACCAATAGCCTGGAGACTGTTCCAGGCAAGAGCTGACCTGATCTGGTCCTGGAAAAACCAGGCAGGAAAGAGGGCTCTATGCAAGGCACTTGGTGTCCACCGTTTCCAGGCTGGGGGCCCAAGGCATGGGGCAACAGGAACTCTGTCCCCTCCCCCAAGCAGAACCAGAAAGGGCCAAGGGGCCCAATTTGGCAGCAGAGAAACATGGCAGCACAGAGGAAGAAAGGAGGAGGGGCAAGCAGAGCCTGCAGGTCCTCCAAGAAGAGCAAGGGGGTTCTAAGGCACTGACACAGGGACCCAGGGTCTCATTGCCCTCTGTGCAGCCTGCTGCGCCCTTCGTAGCCTGGCCAGACTGGCAGGGGAGATGCCCACTTCCCCATGGCGCAGAGATGGCCGAGGCTGCTGGGTTTTCTTAAGGAAGAGTCCACGCGTGAAAGGTCTAGGTGTGGTCAGGGGCAGGTCCTGGCCCCAGGGCGCCTCACTAGCTGCCAGGCCGTGGCTGCCTGAGCACTGAATACACGTCATCCACCCGGCTGAGCTGCTCGAAGAAGGGCAGGAGGTCGTGGAGCTCTGTGTCACTCATGTTGTCAAACCACGAGGCCACCGGTACCTGGGCAGATGGGCGTAGGGTCACCACCCTGGACGCAGAATATGCAGGCCATCCCTGAGCACCTGTTGCTCGGTAGGCCACCTCCTGGAACCCCGTTACCCACAGTTTTCAAATATTTTGACAGCAACCCCCACCCAGTAAATCATGTTTCTGTATATAACAAAGCAACAATTTTACAAAATGATACTTAACCTAACTGTGTGCAAAGCACTCCGATAGTTCCTATTTTATTTCATTTTTTAAAAATCCCAATTAGGACCCACTAAATTATTTCTGTGACCCACTAACTGGTCACAACTGGCAACTTAAAAAATTTCAATTGCTCCAATGCCCAGCAGGGACCCCAGCCCTCTACACACTGGTAGAATGGACTGAATGATGAATAAAGTATGAGGCGAGTGGGCACAGGTCTGTGACAGGAAGGAATGGGAGGACACCAGGCCTAGGACACAGCCCAGCTTGGGAGCAGAGGTTGGGGAGCCCAAATGGACTGACCCCTTTCTTGGGTTTCAGACCCCTATCCAGGTTCTGCATGGCACTCACAGCGTTATCCGGATGGAAGACGTAGGAGGCAGGCGAGTTGTCCAGGATAAGCACCCGCCGCAAGTCTCGGCCCAGCCTGCTCAGGTCCTTCACGTAGTTCCCTCGGTGGAAGACACATGACTCTCGAAACAGCCGTGCCCGGAAGGCCCCCCACTTGTCCAGCAGGTCAGCTACTGGGTCTGCATACTGCGGGTAGGAGGTGAGTCATCGGGACCCAGGGTGACCCAGAGGTCACTGCTCAGAGGCCACATGCTGGTGAGGCAGGCAGGGTTGTCCCAGGAGCCCTTCCGAGGATGTAGGGCTCACTCACCTTGGCCAGGCTGGCAGTGAACAGCACACACTCGAAGAGCTCGCCCATTCGCTGCAGAAACTCGTCCACGTAGGGCCGCTTCAGCACGTAGACCTGGGGGGTGGGCCAGTGAGGGGACTGCTGGCCCACAGGCTGGGAGGGAGCCAGTGAAGTGCAGGGGGCAGGCTGGTCCCAGGCCCTGAGGGGGCTCCACTTGACCAGCCACCCCGACTGCTGCTAGGGAGACGACCACCCTCTCAGAAGAGGATCAGGATGAACCTCTGACTTCCAGGCTTCTAGCCCTGCCTCAAGGCATATCACTATTTCTGGCCCTTCCATCACCATGGCCTCAGCCAAATGGAGGGGCCTAGGGCAGCCCCCTCACCCCGAGGCTGCAGGGCACCGGCCCCCGAGCCAAGTAATGGAGAACAGGCTGGATGGCACACAACCTATCCTGAATTACTTGAACTGGGTCCCGGGCAAGGTGGGGTAAGGGGGCACCAAGGAGAACCCCATTCCCTGCAGGCCTTAGAGTCAAGTCCCTGAGGATCTGTATGACCTTGGATAAGTCTCACACCCCCTCTGAGCCTCTGGCATTCCACATCTATCAAGGTCCTATATGGAGCTTTCAGGATTAGTGGGAACAGCCTGTCTGAATGGCAGATACCAAGCCCACTGCCTCCCCCCAATACCCGGCCCCTCACCTGGTGGACAACCCCATCGATCTCCACGGGGATGATGAAGTCAGCATTGTTCACTGGCTATGGGGGGAAAAGAGTGGCTGGAGCTGGGCGAGGCCTGCCCAGACCACCCTCCCAAGCCAGGGCAGGCCCCCTGAGAAACCCAGGGCTGGGGGCTGCTGGGCAGGGCCCACCTTGAAGGAGCTGTGCACCAGGGTCTCATCCAAATCGATGACCACGCAGATCTTGTCTGAATCCTGGGCCTTGGCCTCCGGGAGCAGATACTGGACTGGGGTCTGCTGTGGGGATGAGCAGGACTGGCTGGGGGCACCTCTCTCACACCCCAGTCATTTCTCCTATACAGGTCTTCCCACCCGCAGCCCTCTACCTAGGAAGCCACAGGAACATGGGGAGAGACCACCCTCTTCCCAAATTTGCCCGTCAACTCTGGAGCCAGGAGCAGGCCACCTGGCTCTCTGGGCCTCACTTCCCCACCTGGGAAAACCAAGGCAGAGAATAGAGTCCACCTAGGATGGGGAAATTTAGAATTCCCTTGGTGGAAGTTTTGGAGCTTTCAGGTGACAAGCTGGGTAGACCTGGGAGGGCTCCACCCTCCTCCATACCTTCCAGGGCCTGCAGACAGGTCAAGAAAAACTTTCCCCTAAACCCCCTCCAGGGTGGGCCCAGGTCAGCTCTGCAGCCCTCACTTGGCCACCACGCACCTTGGGAACAGCTCCATTTTCCTCCACAAGCAGGGGTGCTCCACTGTGGGTGGGCAGGGCCTCCCCATCATCCCGGCAGACACAGCAGAAAAGTGAGTGGAGGATGCCCCGGCTCCGGGGCTTCTGAGAAGTGGATGACTTCTGGTCCCCTGAAACAGGGAGACCCAAGGTGGGGGCGTGTACACTAACCTGCAGAGGCGTGCATATGTGCCCAGGTGCCAGCCCCTGGGCTCCGAGGGTCTGGCTATGCTCCCTTCACTGAGGGAGACACATTAGGGTGGCTCCAGGCCACCTCTCTGCTCCCCACAAGTCAGTCCAGTATAGGTACAAAGGTACTCCCATTAAGGTGTGCGCTGGCTGGAAGGGGAACCAAGGGTACTGTGTCTTCCTCCCAGCCCCCATCACTGCTGAGGGATCACCCCACTGTGGCAGCCTCCTGACACCCACCTTACCTGAGCAGACCCTGCTCAGTCGGGCCCAGGAGGGCTGGGGCCTGGGGCTTGCTCCCGCCTTCCTTCCATACTCTCAGCCCCCTCTAAGTCCAAAGTCCTCTCTAAGGCTGGACCGAGAGACAGGGAGTGGACCTGGGGCCACTTTCCCGCTGACACCCGCCGGCCCCGCCTCCTCCACCCCTCCCTGCCCCAACCTCCAATGTTGAGCCAGGTATCCGCTGGGTGATTGACGGGCGCATTCTGCGC